AAAATACTGGGATAAGGATGAGAAAAAAGTTGAGATTCTGACGAGCATGAAATATTCTTGAAGCAATATACGTGGTAGACGCAAGCACGACGCAACAGCGATCGCGAGTTCTACGTTTACCTCGGAATTTCTAATTTCATACCACTCGCGTACCGTCGAAACACGTAAACTTATTTGCCCTGAATTTCCTTCCCTGGAAAGGCAAAGAAAATCGGGGAAAGGTAAATTTGCTGAAACGAAGGAACGCGTGGTCCGCGGGGTTGATTTCAGTTCACCGTCTCGGCGACGACAGATGAACAAATCGAACAGGCGATAAAACTCGCGAATCGGGGGGATTTAGCCGGGTAAAAAGGAACAGGTGATTTATTGGCACAATCTGCGACGATCGGCGTTGCACGCGTGAGCGATGACGCGAAATTAACCGTAGCGTTTAAAAGCTTCGGGATCGCTTTACAAATTGGTAAAGCTCGGACGAAACGACGAAACGTCCTCATTACTCTTCGCGTTTATTTACTCCGTTCGCGAGACTCATTGCGATTTCAAAATAAAAATGGTTCCCCGTATCGTCTTTCCAGACACGTTTATAGATAAAATTGATTCTTCTACTTTTTAATTAATTCTATACAGCAACGTCATTTTCTATTATTCTAAAGAATTTGATTAAAAGATTTCCTCGTACGTCGAATATTTTTTAGAATTGCATTAGGGTGTGAAATCTTGGAAGGCAGTAGCCTCTCAAACTTGGCTTACCGTCGTTAAAAAGGAATACGTACGCTTTATTTTTGGACGCTCTACAAACTTGCAAAGTTTCATCAAAATCGAGTTTGATGGAATTTCTTTATACAGTTAACTTTTTCTATTAGACCTTGTGTCTGTCCTTGGGATATTTTTTTAAGAAAAAAACTGTTCACCCGTAGAAACTTTTCTTATAACTGTTCTTGCAGTACCGCGGGAGCGCTTATCTCAGAATTTTCCATATAAAAATGATATTATCATAAAATAAAACAAACCCACGCATCGAGAACCCATGTATTTATCCAGTATTTATTACAATGCAAATTCGTAAAGATCAAGAACTTTTTATTTTTATTTGTTGCAAATTCTATGCAATCTATGATGTTTAATCTCTCTTAAACAACAGCGTGGCAAAAAGTAATAAGAAATTACGGTGAATCTAGTGAAATTCTGTCGCGTCAACAGATAATGTTGTAATTTTACGTATGTGTATGTAACACTTTTCAGTGGATAAAAAATATAAAAATATCAACGTAATGTATTGAATAACATTTTAAATGGAAAGTCGAAAAAGTTTTATAGTGATGGAATAATAGCTTTGTCGAAAGAGTGGGTCGGATTTATTGAACGAAAAAGGGATTACGGTTTGTCATAAAATTCAATGGTTATGTTTGAAATATTGCTTGAAATGTTAGTGTAAAATACAGCACGCTAGATTCCACGACTATTTCGATCCTTGTACCAAAGGTTGTACGCCAAATTCCCGAAAATTAACAAAATAACGAAGCCATAAACGTTATCGTATTACAACTTTCAATTATGCGCGATTAGCAACATTCTGAAGTTTCAAAATTGCATCGTCAAATAGTTTGGTTTTGTCGTGCACAAAGAGCTATTACATAACTCATAAACCAAACGAGAATTACGTAGAAAATGTAGTTCGCACTCCCGTGATTTCATGCGCGAATATTGCGCGATGGATGGAGATCCAAAGACGAATAAATTTGCTATCCCGTTCGATGATATATTGAATGTCACTTGGACCGCGAATTTTTGCCTCGACGAGCCAGTGCCGTATAAATTATTTCCGGACGTAATTTCTAAAGCAAATTTCGCTTGATTTATATACCATACACTTCGATCGAACATTAAGGGGATTCTCTACTCAAAAATTTTTAAAAAGGCATTCCCCTTCGAATTTATTGCTCCGAACGACGTTAATGATAACTGTTTCATTTTTTTCTTTGCAAAAAAAAATACTAATTTATCGAAGAAATTTCTATAAAAATGCTGAGAAACAACATCTGTAACAGGATTGGGATTAACAAAAGATATTGCATGGTTAAAGTTTAGAACGCTAAATTTTAAAGAAAGCGACTATAAGATACTAAAAGTTCACTCTAAGAAGTTCTAAATTTGTATGTTTATAGTCCATTCTTCTTAGAATGTTATATAGGGCACTTCAGAAATGAGTTTCTTATTGGAAATTGCTTTCAGAGTCCCATATTTTTGTCCCGTTCTACTCCATCATGCGTCCATATTAGACACAATGTTCTTACGTGATTGGCTACATTCGTTTGTAATTACCTTTATCTCTGGCCCGTGTATAGAAAGTTACAATTAATACACAATAATAGTGAAAATATGGACATTTTGGGCATCCGTTGCAAGAGTTTTCTCTCTTTCGAACCAGTACCAAAAATGGCTATCATCGAACAATGCCTTCCCGACGAGCGACGCGCGCATTCGTCTTGCGATTCACTGTGAGGTGTGGCCGTTCATTTTATCAAGACACCCGAAACGATTAATGTGCTACGTAGGCGAAACTTCATCTCGAAATTGCAACGCTAATCACGTTAAGTGGCTGGGAAATTATTTCACAGTCGACGAAAGTTTCCTCCGCGAGACCCGATATCACGGAATGGATTAAACGCTCGCGGAAATATCGCACGTAAACATTAATTTATCAGTCAACCACGCCGTGAATTATTACACCCGCCTGAAAACTTCGGGGATTCAGGATTTTCTTACCAGCTTCTTGCTCGTCGCGGCTTCTATTCACCCGTTGCATTTAATTAATCGCAACGCTTTTCTTCGCCCTGCGAAACGCGAACGACCCGCTCCAATATCCCAAAACAAGCGCGTTAAACACGCGAAGCGATCTATTAAAATTTCTTTCGCTATTTTTTTGGATAGTTTATTAATTGTAAAAATTTTTATCTATATTTTTGGGAGTGCACGTTTACATCGACACCTTTCTCCAGGTTTGAAAATATAATTTGTTTGAGATTTCATACAAAATGGTACTGGTGTTTAGGAATTTCTTGGTCAAACATTATTAATCATATCTCCTTCGAAAGCCACATTCTTACCAAGGCAAGCTTCAAGAACAGTACTTTTTTCACAAATATTATTCATTCTAAATTATATATTAATTCATTTGAAGAAACGACCCCGTAGAAAATATATTTTGTCTCCCGGATGAAATTTCGTTCTCCACAACCTTGAGCCGGCAACAAGTATAAATAAATAAATTGGAGGTCTGGCAGATGACCGTGCGCCAACTTATGTTTCAATTGCGTGCTGCATAAGAATTGGGAAAAACAGTTTGTTCGAAGCATCCGAATAAATGTACCCTCTTGGTCGTTTCCATTGCAATTAGTTTCTTTTCGATCCTAGACACGTAGAGAAGTGCTAATTGACCTGACACGCATCTACGAAAGAGTCTTAAAATTCTGAAGGCGGCTCGCGAGTCTGGCGCGACGCTAATGCCAAGATCAATGCTGTAAGCAGCATTACGAAGCTTCCAAAATCACTGGTCACGGTGTCGTTCCTAGCTGCCAGAAACGATTCGAGGATCGCCGACGTCGAAGAAACGCGTCGATCACGCTGCTGGTCGACGCGACGCGTATAATTTCATCGATCGCGACGAAACGTTCCACCTAAAATTAGAAACAAAACTCGCGGATCGTATCGTGACTCTTTTTTAAATGTTAGAATGCAACCTCACACGTCGAGTCGTGACATCTTGTAAATACGATCTCAAAAAATTTTGAATTCTCAATGTCAGGAGCAAGCAAATACGGTCCAAAGTAAATATTGGTAATAATAACTGGTTATTATTAGGGTGGAACGTATTTGCTCCCTCGGAGTTTCAAACTTCAACTCGGTGAAGAATTTGTTTACGAAGAACACGATGTCGAAGTTCGTATTAAAGGTCACAGAACGTGCATATCCGGTTCGCGATCGTAACATAGACTTCTTAGTCATTGAACGGCACGTTTTATTTTTAGGGAACCATACGCGTGAGTCAGATACCTAACAACGACTAGGGTTCTCGTTTGGCTATCATTCGAGGGCCAAGACCGTCCGAATAATTTAATTTTCAAATATTTCAGACGTATTTCAATTCTACGGACAAAGTATTAACTATTCGAGTATTCGAATATCGATATTTGAATATTACTATTCGAAAATCACTTCTTCGAATATTTTTATTCCGACTATTTGACGAAGTGACCTATATTGTGAAAACTAAATAAGGTTCCTTTCGTAACAAAATTAGCGAAATGTTTTCTATATATTTCTGCTTCTTGACGCTCCCTTGAAAAAGTTCTGTAGCTGGAAATGTAATAACTGCGAAAAGAATTGCTCTCGGACAAAATTCGTTTCACTTTATCAAGATGGAAACGTTGTATAGAATATTGTTAATAAAGACTCATAAATGGAAATAACGTTGAAAAAAAATTATAGGTTTGAATTTGCAATCAGAAATGTTTAACTTATAGCGTTTGTTACGATTTACTAATTTACTTCATTTTTAGTATAAATAGAAAACATAAAAATGAAGCATCATGAGCATGGCAGTATTTTAAATAGAATAATCAAAATTACTATATGAAGTGAAACATTTAAAATTTAACAAGTGTGTAGCCAGCAACAGTTCTCGCGCTCGCCAACAGAGGGCTACACCTCAACCTTTCTCTCTCACAAGTGCTCGATCGATCACCTGTTCCTCATCAGTGAACAGACAGAGCCTGATAGGATTACTTTACCAAACTAATATTATTTAAAAGAAGCAATAACAGATCAATATTAAAGAACATCGTGAGCTTCATAATTGTATTTCTTATGAAGAATAATAATGGTTCTTCCTTAGTACACGTATATTAGTGAAAATAATAAAATTTACATCGCATCGTATTCAGCTATATTATAATATTCTAATGGATCTCATATAACGTGTTCCAAAAAAGTATACCTACATTATGAAACGTCGGATCGCGTCGAGAATCGAATCGAACGAATGCCAGCCGGAAATTCCGTGCGAATAAAGCTTGGGCGGTCGTACATAGCTCTGTAGCTCGAACTCTCGCTGTCCGTCCTCCATATTTCGTTCCCAGTGAATAGAAACGAAATTCTAATCCCCGGATGGTTGTTATTTAACCAACGTCGCTAAATCGGCAGCAACGCAGAATTTCGTGACAATTCAAACTAATGGCGCCCGGCGGTCGAACCCACCGATAATAATTCAACATTTAATTATGAATCTGTGTCATTTTGGCAGGCGGCCGCGTACGCTCGCGACCGCAAACTGCACGGGAACCAGAACACCGTGGACATTGTATCGAATCGGAAGACAGATCGTCGTTGTCAGCTACGGAACAAAGTCAAGAGCAGGCCGTCGATAATTCATCATGGTGCACGGAAAATAAAAATACCATCCCTTCGAGTCGATACTTGGGGAGGTTTACGTAAATCGATCTCCGGCAACGAGGAAACCGAAATTCCTTAGGAAAAGTACTAAAATCCCGATAAGTCACATTAGGGTAGCTGTCACAAGTGAAACCGGGCGGTTATGGGAAAATAAAAAGAATTTCATGGTTGAAACGTCGATAATAAAGAATCAAATTAATTCTTACGGTGTTTGTTTGACGAACGAAAGAAATGAAAACTCTTTTTAATAACGATAATAATTTATTCGATTACCTTTATTTATATTTTATTTTGTGGATTTCTTTAAGGTGAGGTTTAAAAACAGCCATCGACTGTATCTTGCACTTACGTAACGAAACTATCTATCTATAGACTATTGCATTCATTCTACTATAAAGTGTTCTCTGTTCGTAGTAAAAACGATACGGGAATGTGAATCATAATAATTTTTCACCGCTACTTTTCGTTCGCTTTCAAATTTTCTTCTGCGAAGACTATTTCTACGTTTCTATTTGCGATCTTCCGCGTTTATATCCTCTACTCGGTTTGTAACCGAAATAACTGTCTGAGTAAGCATCGTGCAGCATTCTCCTCAATTCTCTTTGCTCAATAGTCTTGGTAAGTCATACTTATTAACATTCTGATGATTGCTGCCGCTTATATAGAAATTTATTCTCTGAGCCTTTATGTAACCACCCGATCAAATTATTCCGCGTTTATTCAATAGGTTTAGTTCTTACGGCGAATATTCGCTACTTTATATATTTTCACTATAAAAGATGTTCGGTGTATTTATATTTTCTTGTAATAATACTCTTTTTAATACGCATTTTTGTGCGATCGAAATTCGTCTCACTGTTAGCAGATCCTTCTTAAAATTTTTTAGACGCATATAAGGCACTGAGGGCTGAAACGAAACACCAGTTTTAATTCTATTAAATCCATTAACGCTACATTAAATATTATCAGTCTCTCTAGATACAAATTTGATACCATTTCTGCATCCACAAAATGCTACATTTAAAAGGATCGAATCGGTGAACTGTTTGGAAGTTTTCATTATATTAGCAGGCTCTTAAAAATTCGCTAGCACCAGGCATACGACATGCAAGTTGGCCCACGTAAAAAGGACCGCTTCGATAACCCCGTAAATATTGATTTTTAATGAAAATTGGTTCGACCGAATATTGCATAGTTCAGGGCAATGCATTATTCAAATTTCATTTTCCGTCCTGGATGAAAGTGTAAACGACGTTCCATTAATTAACCGATTCGTTGTCGTAGACAGACAGGAACCATCGTACCGATAGTTTCGATTACGTCGAGCGCGAATTATCCACGGGTCATTCCACGCCAAATCGATCATTTTCTGCACTCGATGTCAAGGATTTTGGCGAAATTGAAGCACGTTTGTAGGCCGCGGAAAGTTTCGGTGAATGGCACAAATCATCGCGTTGCTGGTTACGAATTTGTTTGAAATAAAAATTAGAATTACGTACGATACATTCAAAATTTTAATAAAAAAATTTCTTCGAAGCTATTATCGCGATGTTCGTCCTTAATCCACCCCCAATTTTACGTGGAACACATTATATTTAAATTTCATCAAATTTTGCCAGGCATCGGGCTCGAAAAAATGATCGATTTGACGTGAAATGACCCCTACATAAATTATTAAAAATTAATTTTCCTGCGCGACACGTAAAAAAGAACGCCTAAGAGGAAGCTCCGTGATACTCTATAATTTATTACCTGAGAGTTTTGAAAGGACAGGAAGCCGCAAACGGGGATAGAAGGGTCGTTAGTGGTACCTGTAAGTCGTAACTACGAAGCGGCCACTTTGTCATATTTAAGCCTTTTTCCCCCTAATGGCGATAGATTTACATCCTCTCTGCCTGTCGAGTTCTACTCGTATATGACACCATGGATGTAAAAATTTCGTTCTGTACAATTACTAGAGACCGTACACCTTCGCGTGTTTCATCCGTGAACGTTGTTTTAAATACTCGTTTATTTTCAAAGCATGCACATTTTCTCGTCGCTGTGTATACATTCTATAGCGATTGTTTCCATTTACTAATTGGATTTGGTGAAATTGTTTTTATATTTATTTTGCTCCGTCAGCCATTAATTTCATGTTCTTTTTAAAATAAATTTATGTTTTAAGTTAACCACATGTTTACTTTGTACTCTGCATTTATTGTAATTAATTTATGGTTTCGTTAATAGAATCAGACAAAGCATATATTGTACATTTTATGTAAAAAATTGTTAACCTGAATATATACACGCATAAATATTCAAACTAAATATTCGCAGACGAGCAGCGAACGTACATTTTCATTAACGAATATGAATCGAAAACATTAAAGTATACATTCGCTAATCAAATTAGTAAAGGTGAACATTCATTAGACCGCGTATAGATGCACTGAATTTCCACCGAAAAATATTTTCATCACGAGTCACTCGGTATTCAATTTGAAAAGATTTCAATTTTTAAAATTGTCAAAAATTTATCACCGTCATTTCTCATATCTATATGCAATTAATGCCCGTAAATCTAGCGTTAATTTACATTTTCCAAGACGAGTTAACGAAATGTTCGATGTTTCATGGACCGGTAGCGTACATTTCTTAATCTTCCAATTTTACGGTAACAAACAGAGCGTCAGCATTTGCAACAAAAACAGAAATGATGACAAAAGAAAGATTGTTAATACAAAAAGTTTTGCCCATTAAATGCTCCGTGGAACGGTGCGCGTCTAGAATATTAAAGACTCCGGGCGTCAGTTTATCTCGAGAGAAACGATGAATCTCGAAGACTCTAATCGATGCGAAACTTTTTTCGAGTTCATCGTTATTACTTCGGCGGATCCTCGACGGGAAGTTTCGTGCGCGTTCGCGGTGATTTATGACGAAAGAAACAATCCTGTAATTGTCTTGGCGTTAATGAACTGGGACGCGAACGTTGCTTTAATTAATTTAAAACATTCCAATAAGAATAATCCCCTTCGTTATTCCATTTCTCGCGAGAGCCTCTTCTCTTCGTTAAAAGAACCCTCGATGTTTTCCACCTAATCGACCGCGAGTTTCGCGAGGACCGGATCGAAGACGGCTGCTTTCGGGACCAGTCTACATCCGACTTAAACGAACCTCGTCGGCAATCAGCGAATCAAGCACGATCGAACACTTTCGACAGCAGGGAGAGACTCTTGTCTCTGATCTCCCCGACTAATGAAACTTCAATGGTGGGAAAAGAAAGTTGTGTCAGATAAGATCACCTATCGATTCTTTTCGTTAGACAACATTAATGGGGATAACATTAACCTATGGGAAAAACAGCAGTAAGTGTTGCGGACAGGCTCTGATTGAAACTGATAGCTTAGGTACGATAAAACATTAATAGAGAAAAGTGACCAAAGCCAATTAGTTTTTCAAGAATACAAAATTACGTTTCGTACCATCTTTGAGTATCTGGGATTGAGTAATGCGGGTACGAGACAACTGGAGACGAGTGAAATGTAACTATTGACGAGCAGAAAGCAAAAAGCATGTTCGTGTCAATTTGCAGTGTTTTTAAAGCCGTTTCTAAGGTTTTCTAACCGCAGTTTCTACCCACTCGACACAAAGCCCAAACATCATGCGCTCCCAACTGTGCGAGAAACCGCGCGGAACGTTTGCCTAACTCCTGGATCCTGGTTTTTGTCTTCGAACTGAAAAGATCCGTTCCTCTCTCTATTTAGGTGGCATTTGCTTGCGCCATTCTGAAACACTCTTCCAGAAATTTACTGCTAAACATCCGACGCAGTGTCTCTGGGTTCTCTCAAGTATCGTCTTGCAACTTAGTCCGCCGCGCCCTCGAGGCAGACGTAGCTTTTTATGCTTTGAAAATTCAAATTTTTCGATGCCAGCGCAGGATCATAGAAACTCTTAATTTGTCACTAATTTATTCGCTTCAGCTGCGTGTTTCCCATATCCAGGTATCAAGAGCGATACCCAAAAAGATCTGTATTCCCTAGGATTTCTGTTAGCTGTGAGCAGTCACGTTGCTTCAACAAATTGAATCCACTTAATCCTAGAGAGACGCTGGGAAGGCGGGAGGGTAAATTCTCGAGTCTTACAGAAAATCTTTATACGTAATAGGTTACTAATAGTAGTGTATTTTGTTAAAAATGCTACAGTACATTGTGAAGAACTGCCCACTACACAATTCGTGCTTTAAAAAGGTTGAGAAGCACTGGTAGAGAATGAAGATTATATCAACAATATTTTTAAAGTTTTAGTCATTTTCAAAGGTTGTGTTAAGTACAAGAGACATATAGGGTGCTCGGCCACCCCTGGGAAGAAACAAAATTACTAAAAATGAAAATTGAATTTTTAAGAAAAATCGACAGGGGGTAGCTGGCTAAATTTTTCGGCGAAAAAAAAATTTTTAAATTGTTCTGGAAAAATTATTTTCAGTTGCAGGGGTCAATTACAATCATTTTTGGTGAATAGAACTACCCCCAAAATCCTACGCATTTTTGAGAAAAAAATTCGAGTAGGTGGACAAATTTTTCGGCGAAATTGAAAACTTTCAATTCGATCTAAAAAAATTATTTTCTATCGTAGGGGTCAATTACAATCATTTTTGGTGAATAGACATACCCCCGAAATCCGACTCACTTTCGAGAAAAAAATTCATTACTGAAAATATAATGTCTGACCATAATTGTTTGTAACCCTGAAATATCATGCGTATGTTTAAAAAATCATAACTCCTGAACGGATTGGAGGATTTCAATGTTTCAAAATGGGGCTCTAGAGTCCCAGAAAAATTTATCGTTCAACTTCGTATACACTGTCTTCTTCCTCGCCCTTCCTCTTGCGGTCTCACGCGTCTACATCCCTTTCGTTGAATGTTTCGCTTTCACTTTACGAACCATAATACATCACTGGCCGATACCGTGCTTTCTACCCTTTCTTCCCGGTTAATAAATAATCCGTGTCCGTGGTCGCGTCCGGTTCACGTTTGCGATGGGCGAATCCCGAAAGCACGGCGGCGAGAGAACGAACTTGTCGCGGTAAGTTCAAGGACAGGGCGATCCGCGAAAAAGTCCTCGACAGTGTGAGCAGCTCGCAAGGGGGCAGAGCTGACTGACGAGGACTTCGCCATTGGCGTCCGCGGGGATCGTCGTCGACGACGGACCCGAGCGAAGCTTTCGAGGGAAGAACGGAATCAGCGCGACAGAGAGACAGAGACGGAGTACGAGCGGGGCGGAAGCTCGGGCAGAGAATCAAGAAAAGACGAAGTAGGAGGCAGTGAGCGACGAAGTAGCTGGCCAGAAATAACTAATAAGACATTCACTCTGAGACGGGCGGCCAGCCGGCCCGGACGAACGCGGTGCGTCTCGTAACCTCGTAATCGGCATCTCGTCACACACCTTCGTTACGATCGTACCGCATAAACGCCACGGTGACGGTGAAATCGCTAAAAACCACACGTACATAAAAGCGTAACAGTGCCGCGAAGAAACCGATACCGTTCGCTCGTCGTGTCGACCAATGCTCCGGGTGTCCTAGTTCCCGCAAAGTGTCCGCTTCCGTTACTCTCTTCGGATTCGCTCGATTAACAAAGTCACCCTTAAACGATAGAAAAAGATACGAAGGAAGAGGGAAAGAGTATACGTATATGTAATGACGTGATCTATCAGTGCAAAGTGATCCATCGTTCGTGAGCATCGCGACCACGTTTCTGCTATTCCCGGGAACCTCTGTGCGTCGAGTAGCGAGGGAGAGAGAGAGAGAGAAAGACAACGAATCGACGAGAGGACGAGAGGCTCGGACGCGCGAGAGTGGATCTCTTTCGCCGTCGCCATCGCCCGTCTAATTTTAAGTGTTAGATAATGCACACCGGTGCGCACTGGTGCGCTCGGTTACTAAAACGGTAGCGGCACCGGCGATGCGCACACACGCTCGGCCAGCTCTCGCGCATGTCCGTTCGTCGCCATTAGCGTGAAAGCTGCCCACGGGAGAAACGTCGGTGCGCCGTCGTCGTCGATGCTCCTAGTGCGCGTCTCGCGACCGATTTTGTTCACGAAATCCCGCTGGAAAGCCCCTCAGATCCCCAGGAGATTTCCTCGAAGCCGTCTTCGAGATCTCTTCGCGACTCCATGGGTTCTCGAAGTCCGCGAACTCCCGACGATTTGAAGCGTGTTATCGTAACCCTCGGTGACGTTTTTATTTTACTCCGTCTTTCCATGCACGCCGTATCTTCGTTAGAAGCAGAAAAGTTTGAGGTTAGACGCCCTCGGGCGGCGCTTACGAGTCGCCGGGGATGAATCGTCCGCGAGACGTTTCACCGCGAATTTCAAACACTCGGTCGACGGTTTCGGAAGATCGGGGTTCGCTTCTCTCTGGTTCCGCTTCCACCCTAAAGCTCCTCCCATTCTTCGTCTCTCGGCGCACCGGTGAGCCCTCGCTCGAGACGAAGCTTATTTTCGGCGGATCGACAGCTTCTCTTTATACGTTTTGTTCGCGACGCCCCCGCGTCTGTTAACCCATCGGCTCAACGATAATCCGACCCTAAACGCGCGCACGATTATCTGATTTTACGACGATGCGTTGTGTTTGTACATTTTCTTCTTTTTTTTTTTGTTATTTTTCATGTTGACGACGGGTAAATTGGCTCGCTGGATCCCAGTTTATTTGCGATAATGGGAGTAAAAAAACAATATAAGCCTCGATTACACATACCAGGAATAAAAATTTTCTCGTGCACTATCGTCGCGTAATTAGAAATCGCTTAACCAGGACCGAATTATTTTTCCCGAAATAAAAATGAAAGCAAACGGTACGAGTCTCGATAATTCGTTTGAATCGCGTTAAACATACGAAGCATAAAAGGATCGGATAAAACAATATTGACTCATTTAATTATTTTTCAAGCTTCTCGCTTTTAATCCCATTTATCATTCCCTTTGGCACTCGAGCGGCTAAGGTAACAAAGCCACGGATAATCGAATCGAAAAAATGCGGTTCTACTTGTACGTAACAACAAGCAACTACACAGTGCGCTCTTTGCCAGCAAAGTAAGGCCAATGGGTTAACGAACGTTCGCGATTCGACTCGATTTTCGCCGTTTTAATTGCGATTCCGGGGCGCACAATTGATCGTTCTTTTTCTTCTTATTTTTCTTCTCTCTTCCCTCGTCCCGCGAGCTAGCCACCCGCAGCTTCTTCTTCATCGTTTCTTCCCTCCCCCCCTTGGATAGCAGGCCTTTCTTCGTTTCCGCTTCTGTGTCCCATCGCCTCCCACTCCCGATCGCTCCCTCTCTCACCTCTCTCTGTCTTTCTCTTTCTCCGTCTCCCATTTCCCATCTATTTCTCTCTTCTTCCACTCCTTCTCCGGCGTTTCACGCGCCCGCTGTCTCCGTCTGTCTCTCCGTGCTCTAATATGGCCAGCCGGTGTCCAATTACTCGCTTCGTTCACGCGACAGTTTTTCCACGCTCTTCGCGGCCACCGGCGTCGTCGGCGACCGAGAAAAGATCCTCATCAACCGTCGCGACACCCAGCTAACCATTTTCTGCTTTTTTCCGCCGCGACGATCTATTCAACCCCCGACGTCCGCCATACTGTGCCGTCCCCCCCATCCGCCGTCACACCCATTCGTTCGACATTTGTACCGGTGCCTTTTTCTCGAACGTCCGCGAAGATCGCCGCGAGACGGAATCGATACGGCGTCGTCGCGATTTAAATTGGGAAACCGTGACGATACACGGGCCAGCGCCTCGAACCGCGAAACGGTGGGGAAAAGAACGATTAAAAATACTGTGGGGTGGAAAAAGTATTCGTACAACCGACCGCCACGAAACGAAAGTTTACATAATCGTTTGGAGGACTAGTCGATGCGGGAATGCCTCCGTTTTCTAGCGACGGAAAATTTATTTACCACTGCGACCAATAAGGATAGAGAATCTGGTTGGCGTCAACTTCGATCGAGTTTATATCCATCACCGTTTCTCTACTTTTACCCGAGTTACGAAGTTTTCGACCTTACGATTTAGATGTGTGGTAAATATCGATGATACCTACCAAATGATATTACGAATTATTAGAATTATATTAATGGGGGAGATTGCACGTACAAAACACGAGGAAGACGTTTAGACAGTCTTACGTATACAGCACTTCAGAGTAAATAGTAATTTTCATAAGCTACTATAACGATAGCAACGAATCCTTCAAGGGCGCTTGTTAAGGCCACGTTGCATACTAGAGAAAAATATTTGACAGGTATTATTGATATTCAAAAAGGAATTATTGTGTCTTCGATTATTTCTTGTTTTTTTTATGACAAAAAATAAGCTGTTTATACGTTCTGATGTACGAAGAGATTAAATTATCTAAAATTTCGATACTTGACCGAGTTCCCTTTCGACTTTAAGATTACCTCAAGCCCTCCAGGCATCGAATACGCTAAATTTGATGTTACACTTGGCGGAATTTTATTCTATTCTCCCAGCAAAGCAATTTTCAGAGGTTCTTTCGAAGATACGCGATGACTACGAATGTTTCGTTCAAGATGGTCCTATAAATGCTCTATGGCAGTGGTGCACAACCCTCCTCGCCAGTGGGTCGAATATAAAATGAAATAACGAATTTTCTACCAGCCAACTTTCGGATAAATAGGGGAATAAAAGAATATATTTTAATTTGAGTTAGTGCACAATTTATTCAAAATAATCTACATGTATATTCAATAGTTTATCGAGACTCATCGTCTTCTGTTGGTGGTTCGTGATTGAAAAAAAAAAAATACGCTAAGGCTGAATTTGTATTTAAAACACAAGTTGCGTAACAATATTTAGATTTTCGTCCTGTTTTCAAACTGTATTTTTATTCATATTTACAATTGAAATACCTTGTCCGTCAATGCAAATTCTGTCGAATATATTCATAAAGAAAAATGCATTGTTCGAAATAGTTGGTTTACATATTCACGTTCCACATATTTTTGTAAAATATTGCAACGTTTGGTTTAAAATTGCAAACGAAGCACATTTTGTTTTTTATTTATATAAGTTATTTTTGCAAAGACAACGAGTATCTTCGTTTCATTTATATAATATCCATTCTAACGGTGTCTAGAAATACGTATCTGCAAACTGTTCGTTTCGTTAACATTTACGAATAAACGGAATCATGTAAATTTCCATTTCAAGTTTTACGAATTCTTTTTACGATGACAGTATCGATGAAGATGGAAAGGGTGATCGTCGGGGTTGGGTTTAGCAGCGATTAAAGAGCGACTGGGAGACCCGGAGGACAGAAATTTCCCCCCACGCGGCGATCGTTCTTCCCGCTCTTTCGCGGAGGAAATTGATGATTCGAGGATTACCGGTAATCCACTGGCAAAGTGATTCTTGCGGCACCAGGGGGGAAACTTTCGACCCGCGGAAATCAGTGATAGTTTTTTTTCCTTGCGACAGGGGTGTCTTGAATTAATTTTCGCGAGCGTATTTTCCCTCGATCGTGCAGATAATTGAACCGACAATTTCGAAGCCATTGCATGTGACCTAGGTCGTATCGACGGTGAGAGTAATTCGTATATACGGTCGAATTCACTTTCGACGAACGCGAAAAGATCGATAAAACCATTACACGCGATATCAGTGATAAGTTAACGGTGTTCATTTTTCCTTCCTTTTCAATAACTGGATAAAAACATAAATTTAAACGTTTTAGATTTTTGGAGTACAAGAAATCAATTAAAGGAAAAATAGTTGCTATTATTATCAAGAATTTTTCTCCTAATCAACTTTCCGTATTTCAGAATGTATAATTTTTGTATATTTTTACAAGATTTAAAATATCGAATGGTCAACAATTTTTAAGATTATCACATATATTTAATCCATGTACGTCGACTGAGTTTAGAGAATTTCATTTCGTAGATTCTGTGGACGTCCGACCAATTGTAGGACTACTCTACTTAAATTCACCGTTCGGTCCGACCAAGCATTGATTCGTGCCACTTATAGACTTCCACAATTAAAGGTTTAGTTTTCTCGAGATGGAGATCCGATGATCGATAAAAATTCTACCGAAATCCGTCAATTTCGATACTATTTAAATTTTCTTACACTTTTCTATCGCGTGCAAACAGGTCTCTGAATAAACGTAGCGGAGGTGAACGTACTCCCGGTCGTGACGCGTCGCGAAATCAAGAAAGTGAATTTCCGTCGATGGAAATACGCACAATGGTCGACGGTTTCCCAATTTCCTCGCGCGCCGTCGCCGCGGTTACGCGATCGACGTCGTTCCACGTACACGCGCACGGTCGTTTAACGGTGGTGATTTGATTTCTAGCTGTCACAGCGCCGGATATTGGTGAACGAAAAGTGGTATCACTTGGGGCCCCATAGAGAGGGCCCCGCACCGGAAGAGGCCGCCGCAAGGCGGTCAAACACTCAGGTAAGATTATTTCTATTCTCACCTTTCGATATACGCCGGGCTCTTTTAGCGCGGTAAATTTGTCCGAACAATGGCGAATTTAATTTTCCGTGATAGAAGGATTTCCCCGTGGAAAAACATTTGCCTAGCTATAATGGAATTTTAACGAACCTCTATTAGATTGCAACCGATGAATATCAGTGTCGCGGTATCGACACGAGCATCCTTACGAAACGCTGATCCTCGTGTGATTCTCGTCGACTGTTGAACTTTAATCGTATCATTTATTTATTCGACTGAAACAATCGTGTACACGCTATAGCGAATATTGAAATTGAATTTTTGAGAAATTGCACAAAGACGAAAAGAGAATACATTGAGGGAAGGAGGGGAAACATTTCTCATAAATTAGAAAATAACGAATCAATTTACGTTCGTGGATCGAAGCACCGTTCAAAGCAAAACTGTTACACGGTAAACATTTCTTTGGTCAGAAAAATACAGGTTGAAGATAAAATTATTGGGAAATTCAAGACGGTGCCCTGTTCTGCACGGTACTCACGTCCACGGAGTCGGCCCTGATCAAAGAATCTTGAACAGTTCTGACCCATTCAAGGTATTCGAGTCATTCAAGCCGTTTCGAGTCTAGCGAATCGAACTAGTTCGAAAGCCAGCTTGAGCTGGTTCAAGCTTTCAGCGACTTGACGCGTTTGAAAGATTGCAAGCAAGACTCGAATGCCATCTCTGATCGTAACTTGAAATATCTGCTCGGAGTTCAAACGGATCGCTTGTACGGGCCGTTCGGTTTTTATGCCGAGCACTCGACGAACGCCGCTTTATCAATCAACACGGTTATCACTTCGTTCCTGCAGTTTGGAAAATCCTTGTTCAGGGACCAGTGACTGACGTATCGATTGGCATTTCGCTCGAAACGAGTCGCTTGTTTTTTCGTCACTTTATTTGGAGTGTCGATGGAACGCGGCAAACGAAACAGCCACTTGACGTTTCACCGCCTCTAGAGTTTCAACGAGTTATTTCCCCTTCGTTTTCTTCGTTTTTTCCCCGACGGAAAAAAGGCGTATGATTTATCCTCAAAACAGAGCCCGTTCCATTTTCTTATTTACCGCGGGACGCCACGGTCGAAACGAACAGCTAATTAATTTTCTTTCGCGCCTTAAGAACCTTCTTTCCCGTCCGACTCGCTGAAACGAAATAACTCTAATTGCTTCTTTTCAACGGCAGAGCATTCAAATCTCGCCGCGTGAAGTCGTAATTCCCGGCGAATCGTCGGCAGTTCTTGCAGAAAGTTTGCCAAAGCGGACGCCGAAAAACGTTTCAACGGGGCCGCGCGATCACAGCTGATCGGCAAATCGCGGTTTCGAGAGAACAGCGACGGACTCGAGCGTATCGCGAGCATAGAATTTTATCAGAGATTCGAACCATAACACACTCGATATCGTAGAATACGATAAGGACGATATTTAATTTGAGATAAGTTTCATGCATTGTACTATTTTTAAATTCGTTGAAAAATACTAATCGCTTTTATTTCAATAACAAACTGACTCGAATCAAATTTACAAAACGATTCTATTGTATTGGCTACAAAGTAGAAAATGGTGTAAAAACGTCGAGGATGCAGAGTGTGGGGAGGAAACGCCGTGTTACCAGAGAGCGTCTAATTTTTAAAGTGGTCATTAACGAGCAGCTTGACCATGGCACGTGTAAAATTTCGTGCTTCGAAGCGAGCCATCCGCAAATTAGCGCAGTTAGACCGACATATTTCATTTCCCTAATTAATGTTCGTTCTCACCGACGCGTTTCGTTCCCGTGGTCGCGACTCTGAGCGGAAATTCGAAGTTACAGCCGACTCGCGTCCTCGCAGTTTTATTCTCTGTCTTTTTCGTTTGTTTTCATTCTTTTTTTTTTTTTCTTTTTTCTAACCAACTCCGCGAAAAAGATAACTGTCACCGTTCCTCGTCGTTTGTTTCATTGGGTTTTATACCGGCGGCTAATGCGTCCGACGCTAGAAACAGTGCCAGATAACGCAGTCGCGTGATATAAATTCACGGCCGGTCAAAGACAAACGTCATTCGCCCCGACGCGAATCTACAATTCGAATTTAAACAATGACGCGCCATTCGTTATCCGCAACGGGTCGGAAACAGTTTATATCGGAGCCATTCGTTCACCGATAAGAATAAATTCTGATCCGACAATCGGGCCCGATGCGTTAGACGCGCACGCATTATCTGCCCGTCCGTCCCTCGAGGGAAATAAATTTCTAATGCGTTTCAATTGTCCCACGGATTAGACGTCACAACGCCGTAACACCATTCTTTCGACAGTTGTTCGCAAGTGTGCTCGAACGCTTGCAAGTCTACGTCGTTAATAAATAAAAAGGCACTCTTTGAATTTACATTTTCGAAGTAAGATTTCAACCCCTCAAGCATCGCGGTTCATCGTCGAGAGTGTACTCCGCAGTGGCATGAATTTTCTACTGCGAGCGTGTATACGAGGAATATCCGAAAAACGAGTGTGAAGATATTTTTAAAAATTGTAAATGAAATAACAAAAATTTGTAAAAATTCTTACGTACAGCTTGATGCATTTTGGACTCTGATACTGCACTCAATTTTTTATTTCTTTCAGTACATACCGTACAGTAGATTTACTTTCACTTGATAGCTTTTTTAATATACCATTTTAATATTATTTACGTTCACTTTTGTTGGGCTTCGACTTTTTCGTGTTTATGATTGAAATAACCTTGTACGATTACGCTCTATGAAATCTCTTAAATTTGATATTTACATTTAGTTCGGTGGTAATACTTTTTACGTCAACACGTTATGAACGCGCAATATTTTCCGAAACACCAAAATATTTATGACCAATTCGAGATTCATTGAGACATACGATTATCGTTTCGATATACATTATTTGCACTGAACATGTTGCTTGTTTCGTTACGATTCGTCATAATTTATAACGATAGTAATCATAATAAACGGTTTTATTGCACTCTAAAGGTACAGAACACATAACATAAATACCTGCACGTCTCCTACACGTCACACAATTATGATACATTTGTGTACGTATCAGAAAAGTACTTTTATCATTTTCGATAATTAAATTAGTATCAGACATTAAATTAATTAATATAATTTATTCAGAATTATTTAAAAAAAAAATGCTTTTGAAACATACGAACAAAGATAATAATTTTATTCTATTCTAGAATTTCGTTCCAGGTTTCCTTTATTAAAAAACAGAATTCAACTGTCCTTCATTATTCGTATCGTTCTCGGTTTTGTTCTTCGCACTTTTGTTACGGCAACACATTTGTCACGATCTTCGGTTTTCTTCGTGCATTTCGACCCTTTTTCGCAGTCTTCGCCGTGGAATTGCAAAGGCGTCTCCTTTCTGGTTTCGGCGTACAACCGCTCACTCTCTTTCTCGAGTAATTTTTGTCAGTTCTGCAAACCACAATCTGGATGGAACGTAGCGAGCCGCTACGTGCTAAACGAGATATGCTTAGCGAAATAACGGCGCCCTCGAGAGATGCGACAGCAGCCTCTCGTCGAGACGTACAATATTCGAAACGTGCAGACTCAGGAAACACCTGACCGTGATCTCGCCAGGGATTAATGAATCGTACAATTAAATCTTGAGACACGTTAACGCCAACAGGACAATTCACAGGACAGTTATCATTAGAACTAACAGTCGTTAAATATAGAACCTCTCAAAAATCACTTTTAACGAAACAGAATAAATTGTAAGGACGTCTCGGAATATTATCACCCCCTTTTCTTTTCAATTAATTTTATGTACCTCGTATATAATTGGTGATTTTTGTTATATGCCAAATTTTTTTATACGAAATGACAGAGTCTGACTCGACGCAAGTAGAAACAGCCTAGTATAGTCAGACGTGGCACATATCCGACAAATATTTTAATTCAATTCTCTCGAAAACCATGCATTACACAACAATATTTTATTCCTTTCTGTTTCTCCCAGACAACTTATAAAGTACCCATTTATCCATTTTTTTTAATTTCATCTATAGCACGTAGGTACCGTACTATTATAATACGATCAACTTTTGATCCGTAAATTCTCTGGAGATTTTACGTAGATCTTCTTCTGATCTATGGAAATACGCAAAAATGTGACGTTTCGTGCGCTTCAACCTAATATCGTCGACGAAAATATTGTTTGCCGGCGATTTAGAGCCAACTCGTTTCAATTACAGAATAATTTGAACGTACCCATCCGTAAAGGAAAGATATATTCGTTGCTCGGTATATGAGCCTTTTACTGCTATTGCTGTTCGAAGCTTAATGTAGCGTATCATTCTAAACTCGTTAAATGCAAGCGCACAATTGTCCGAGTCAGGTGGAACGAATAACGGAGGATGACCATAAAAATTTATTTCCGAGGGGTGAAACGAACACGCGACGACATCGATCAAGCTGCAACAACGTTTCTTCCAATTCCTCCGAATTTTTATTCCGCGAACGGGGAAAAGAACGAATCACGCTCTTGATCAAGGGAAATTAGATTGATCTGCGAGACGGCAGGACCAAAGTCGCTAAAAAAAGAAGAAATAGATCTCTGGTTCGCGGTAGACACGCGACACACTCGTGTTGCAAATTGGAGATGCATTTCTCGTCCTTTCGACGACTTACTCGAAGATTTTAATTTCCATTGAAACATTCGTTGACTTTTAATCTCCACGCTTCTCAAAGAAACGCCCGACTTCCTCGAACAACGTTGCTTTAACGAACCTGGCGACTACTTAAAAATAATCACTCTCTAGTGAGCTTACGTTTAGCAACGGCGTGTTTTCGGAGACCGAGCCCTCTCACGTCGAATAAACGAGCGCCTAGCGAAATTATTCCGAGCACCATTTTCGACTTTCGTTTACGAACACAACACGAATTTATAATCAAGTGCAAAATGATACAGGGAAAAATTGAAATGTATTCGTGAAATAAGTTTTTGAAATC